AATTTTAAATATGATTTATATATTTAAACATAATATTTATTTGTATGTATTATGTATTATAAATTTTAATTATATATAATAAACATTTAGTATGTGTATTGTATATATTAAAATACTAATTTTTAAAATTTAAATTAACAAAAAAATTATTTATTTAAAATTACAAATAATATCACTAACAATGTTTTGCCAAATTTAACTATATTTTATTTTATTAAAATTTTAATTTTTTCAAAAGATATTAAATTTCACTTATGATTAACAATTTATTATTTATAATTATTTTTAGCGACATGTATGATGAAAATATAATTTAAATTTTAGTCTGATGTTACATTTATATATTATCATGAGAAAATAAGTTTTTTTTTTAAAGAAGGAAAAGAAGTTATTTTTAGAATTAGGAGTTTTGCACCTTAGTTTAATAGGCATTCATTAACAGTATTAAATTTTAAATAGTTAATTAATCAAAATAATTATTAATATTAGTGTAGTTGAGACATTTCATATCTCTATATTTTATTTAAAAATTTTAAAATATACATAAAATTAAAGTTAAATAATAAAGATAATTAAAATTTTAAATTATTAGAGATAGTTAATTTATTTTAGTAGTTAGACACATGCTTAATTTTGAATTTATTTTTTATTATTTAAATATTTAAAGATAAAATCCTCTTAAAAAATATAAAGACAAAAATCGGATATAAATCCATATACTCTTTTATATATAGGTATCAATAAATTTTAAAAAATAATTATTATAAAAATAAATAAACTTTTCATACATTTAAAGGAGATCGAAAAAATCCTTGCATTATTATATAACTCCTTTTTAATACAAGGAAGAAGTCAAATAGATTAAACAATCTTTTTCCAGAAAAAATAAATAAATAAACTACACAAAAAAACCGATTGCTATTTTTTTCCTTCTGTACATAAAAGTAAAATCTTCATCATTAATTATTCAATTAAAATATTTCCAAATAAAGAAAATCATTAAGAAATTAGATTTGTCGGTTAAAGCAAAGCTGTCAATTTTTTATTATGCAGATAAAGTTGAATTTGTTGAGTATGAGGAATCCAAGGGCAAATAAAATTGAATAAAAACAAAGTCACTACAACAATTATTAACGATAATTATTTAATAATAATTTAATTGTTATCATATATAAAAATATTAATCGTTAATATATAATAACCATTAAAAATATATTTATATTATATTAAAATTTATTATTAGCGACAATTATTTTTTAGAAAAAATTTAAATCTCACATCGATTAGAGATAAGATAATTAAATAATATATAAGTGAGTAATTTATTATCTTACAGATTCATTTTATAAGGTTGACTCCTAATTCACTATTATAAATTGGTATCAAATCACCTATTATTACCAAATTTAATAGTGTTATAAAATAATTAGAGAACAACTTTCATCTTATAAATCTCACATTTCTTAAGAAACAAGATAATTAAAAAATATATAAATAAAAGACAACCCTCATCTTACAAATCTCACATAGCGTAGAGATAAAAAAAAATATAAGTTATGAATTTAGAAAAGGAAATTATAGGAATAAATTATTTAAAGTAAAGGAAATAATTGAAAAATAACTTTTAATAGCCTTTAAAATGACTACTAGAATTGCCACTAAAAAAATAAGTTTTTCCGACAATTTAGTAGATCTTTACCAACATTTTATATAACTGCCGGTAATAGTATTATCGACACTGGATACATATCGCGTAGAGATAAAAAAAAATATAAGTTATGAATTTAGAAAAGGAAATTATAGGAATAAATTATTTAAAGTAAAGGAAATAATTGAAAAATAACTTTTAATAGCCTTTAAAATGACTACTAGAATTGCCACTAAAAAAATAAGTTTTTCCGACAATTTAGTAGATCTTTACCAACATTTTATATAACTGCCGGTAATAGTATTATCGACACTGGATACATCAGCCTTTATTTAAATGCTGGTAAAAAAATAATGATCATTTATATATGACTACTAAATAATAAATTAATTGTCACAAAAAATTAATTTTGATGTAGTGAGTGTTACTATATAATTTTTGGGATCATTTTTTCAAATTATTCGTTGACATTAAAACTGTTTCATTTCAAATGGGATTCTACTCCTTAGACCTGGTTTCGGATCAAACCACACAGATAGTATTGAGTTAATTATTCTTTACTTAGATTAACTTGATGAAATATACCAAAACATGAACCATGCCCCTGGTTTTCAACAAAGTCAATACTTTTCCTTTTGAGACAGCCCATTGTTTTAGATATAATAGTATGATAATAAATACTGCATGCATAAGACATTGCCATATTTTATTACGAGAAAAAGGACTATATATTACATAATAGTTATACCAGTCACTTAATCACAAAATCATTATATATAATATATTTATCAAACCGATCTTTATAAATAATATATTTATTAAATTTTATAACAATTATTTTAAACATTATACTAATGTTGATTTCTTATTGATGAATAGTGTAAATAGTTTTACATTCATTATTATTAAACCATCTATTTATTCTGTCAAATTCTACCTTAAGCAATAGAAGGGAAAAGAAATTATAGTGATATAAGAAAATTTGTGGCTATAACTAGGCACTATTTTGAAATCTAAGAGCAGTTAGAATTCTTTGTCATTTTTCAAAGCACAGAGACCAAATCATTTTTCAAATGGGGCGTTGGATGAAACCTGAGGTATAATATTGGAATTTTAATCTCAACTATGTATATTCTTTTCCCCTTTTTTTTTATGAGGTTAAACTTTTTTCACACTGTATCGGCCTCTATGATAATATAATGATATTTGCCATTATAACTTCATGTCGTGTGTTGGAATCGAGTTCTAATTTTTAATTAAATATCATATCTATGATAATATAATGATATTTTTAATTATAACTTCATGTGAAATGTTGGAATCCAGTTATAACTTTTAATTAAATAATATGATATTTTCAATTCGAATGTTGGAATGAGTTCTAACTTTTAGTTAAATAATACAAATGTTGAATCACATAAATTAATTATTTTTATTTTTTTTTTCACTTTAAAAAGCTGTTTTAGCACTTCTATATTATAGTTCTGAGACATTGACACTTATCATTATTTACTCATTTGTATGTGAATGTAGATTTACCCTTTAGTGGGAGCCATGGCCTTTGTGACCAGCCTGGTCGTCTTTCAGCTAACAAGGAATGTGCTCACGAACCCTGAAGTTAGGTACTTTCAATTTGCTTAATTTCATAAACTAAACCTACCAAAATATTATATTTTTTACAATAAAATTATACAACATTTTCACTTTATATGTATAATATCATCCATTGAACAACAATTGTTAATACAGTTGACGGAGTGTTCTATCATATTAGTTGGAACTTAAGTTTATCACATTTTTTAGAACATCTTTGGAAAATATTAATTTTTATTAATTTCAGTTTTTAAATTTTTTCAGGAAAAAAATTATTTGTAAAATAAACTGTATATTTGAGATGCTAGTTAAAGTTTATAATTTTTTTATATGTTTCTGAAAATTTGAAACTTATCAATATTTTTTTAACAATTTTTTCCTCTTAAAGTTGATCTATTGTATAAAAATTATATCTTGTATCTAAACAAAATTAAATATCTCAAAATTATTTTTCAAAAAACTTACCTAAACAAAAAACATTCTAATTATAATCCATTATAACAATACTTTATTATACATAAAAATCAACTATTGATGAAATAATCTAATTTTTACAGTTATCTCAATCATATCTTTATTGGTAAACAATGTGTAAATTAAATTTCACTATAAATTCATACATTCTCTAACCATGTAAGGTGCATCTTCTTCTAATCTACACTATTTTTTTTTTAAATCAGGAAATAAAATAAATAAAATCACATCCATTTTTCATACATTAATTTCTTCCTAATCTCATTTATTTGCAAAAAGAAAAAAATAAAGTTATATAAAACTTAGAATTAAGGGATGGTTAATGTTTCATAATTTGATTATGTGGGTAACTTGAGTTGAAAAATTTGTATAGGATTAACAAACAGCGACGAAGTATGGCAGTGTTGGAAAACAAAGAAGAGGGAGAGAGATATGCAGAGCATGGTCTGAGGAAGTTCCTTCGTACTCGACCACCTGAGATTATGCCCACCATCAACCACTTCTTCAGTAACGATGATAAATGAATCATTGTCATATACAATGTTAAAATAATTCATCAGATGAGAGAATAATAATCAAATTATATTGTTGGCAAGGGGTGGTTAAATTAATGTTTTGTGTCTTATGATGCATCACTCTTTAATTGTGTTTGTTTTTATTTTTATTTTTTATTTGTCTCGTTATTTGTGTTAATTCTTTTTGGTGTGTTAGGCTTCTAATGTATTGGAGTTTTAATCGAGTTGGTGCATATTTTGTTCAATTTAAGCCATCTTTTGTGAATCATATATTTTACTTGTCAAAAGAAATAATCCAAGTATATTTTGTAATCCTCAACTTAACACCCAAACTGGTGCAAAATAAGAATCTTTTGTAACATATTGCGCTCATATATATAGACCATAAATCATTGATATTTTTATTATGTTTTTTTGTTAATCATAGAAATCAGTATTATATTTAACATCTTTAATCACATTTATTTACTTATATTTATTAAAATATTACTATAAATTAAGTTAATAAACTATTACAAATTTTTTTTAGAAAGTGTTACTTCAGATAAAGTAATATTTTTTATTTTAATATTGTTATTTGTAATTGTTTTTTTTATTATAAATAAGCGTGAGTAAAAGAATGATATATAAAGGTATATTTCTATAATTTTTAATTATTTTTAAAATTAAAGTCTCACATAAAATAAAAGAATGACACATACAAAATATAAGTGGAACTTCACATATTGAACTTTGATATGTGATATAAATTTGATATCTATTCTTGTTAAAAAAATTGATATTTTTAACCTTATAAGACTCGTAAACGAATAGTAAAATTTATTTTAATATTAATTATTATTTTATAAAATTTATAAAAATATTAAAATCTTGCAAATTATAACTTTATTATTGTCATTAATATGTAAAATATTGTTAAATGTCTTTAAATATAGACTTTATCTTACATTTAATAAAATGTCACAAAATATATTAATAATATTTATTCATAATTTAACAACAGCTTTTTAATATTATTAAAAATTGGGGATGAAAATAGTTTAAATAGCTCGAGATGGAATTATGACTTAACTTACATCATATTCAAGCAATTCTGAAGATTTACAAAATAAATTAAACTATTAAAAAGTAAAAAATAAATAAATAAATAAATAAAAATAAAAAAAGGTAAGACTCTAGGACATTGAAAAAGTTTTTTAAGCTAACACTTTGGCATGAAAGAAATATAGTAGAAAAGAAAATAAAGGAAAACACAAATTTGAAAGAAAAAAAAAACACTTCATTTGATTGATTAGAAAACAAGAGAGGAAAAAAAAATAAAATGTAGGCCATATTAAATTTCTTTTCTCCCAATTCGTAAATAAAACAAGAATGAAGATAGTGGATATGAATAACTTACAGTTTTATTCTCATGATTCTAATAAATAAAAGCTAAATTATTATTTTATAAATATATTTTTTTTAAGAATAAAATAACTACTATTAAAATTTTTTAACAATTTAAATTTATATTTAACTTTGTTTTCAGTTTTTTTTTATTGTTAACAACTTTTTATCTTTTGTTCATTAATATAGATTTTCATTATAAATAATTAAAAATATTTTTTACTCATTTTTTTATTTAATAGA